CTAGAGGACTGAAACAACATAAATGTACCTTACGTTATGGGGTCAGACGTCTAACATGGGTCTCACTGGGCCAAAATGAAGGTATTGGCAGGGCTGAGTTCCTTCCGAAAGCTCTAGGGGAGACACTGCTTCCTCAGTTTTTCCAGTTTCTGGAGGCTGCCCACTTTCCTTGGCTCGTGGCTCTGCATTATCCCAACCTTTTCTTCCGTCATCACATTTCCATTCATCGTCACATCTCCTTCTCGGGTGCTGAGTCTCCTGCCTTCCTATTTCCCTTATAAGGACCCTTCTGATTACATTGTGCTCACCTGAATAATCTAGGATGCTCTGTCCATTTTAAGATCGTTACTGTACTTACATCTGCAAAGTCTCTTTTCCCATGGAATGTAACATAGTCACAGGTTCTGGGGGTTACCATGTGGACACATTTTGCAGGTAGTGGGGAGATACTCTGCCTACCACAATGATGTATGCAGTGTATCTGCCTTTTCCAATTTCCTTATTCTTCTGCAGTATCTTTGTACATGTCCTCTGCCACTCCTTCTGGTTTTGCTAATTTAACATGTGAATAGTTTTATCTATTTGTTGAAGATTAGTATGGGAGGGATCAGTGACCATCTGTTGCTTCATTAGGATTTGTTGTCTCAAAAACTTCTTCACCAAATCTGTTATGTCATCTGCATTGGGAGCAGATTCTGGTGTATAATTGATAATTCCAGATCTTAGTTAAGCAACTTAATTCACAGACTTTCTCTGTTTTGATCTGGTGAGTACCACCCTTCCTTCCTCCTGCACCCTTCATCTCTTCTGACAGTCTTCCTTGGTAGCTAGGAGGTAATTTATGTCCAATAAAGAAGATTGTAAAAAATCTTCACAGTCATTGAGCAACATCATGATAAACAGAGAAAGGGTTGAAGTTGTCAAGGATTTCATTTTACTTGGAGCCACAGTAAACACCCATGGAAGCAGCAGTCCAGAAATCAAACAACTCATTGCTCTGGGCAAATCTGCTGCAAAGGACCTCTTTAAAGTGTTAAAAAGCAAAGATGTCACTTTGGGGACTAAGGTGCGCCTGACCCAAGCCATGATATTTTCAGTCGCCTCGTATGCACGTGATGGCTGGACAGTGAATAAGGAAGACTGAAGAAGAATTAATGCCTTTGAATTGTGGTGTTGGTGAAGAACACTGAATATACCGTGGACTGCCAGAATAATGACCAAATCTGTCTTGGAAGATGTACAGCCAGAATGCTCCTTAGAAGTAAGGATGGTGAGACTTCATCTGACGTACTTTGGACATGTCATTAGGAGGAACCAGTCTCTGGAAAAGGACATCATGCTTGGTCAGGTAGAGGGTCAGCTAAAAGAGAGGAAGTCCCTTGACGAGATGGAGTGCCACAGTGGCTGCAACAGTGGGCTCAAGCATAACAACGATTGTGAGGATGGCGCAGGACCAGGCAATGTTGCGTTCTGTTGTATATAGGGTGGCTGTGGGTGGGAACCAGCTCGACGGGATCTAGCAACAACAACAAAGAAGATTAGGTGCTGTGTGGTTCCTCTTTGGCCCCTGTGGAGTGTGTAACCAGATCTCATTGTGTGCATTCTCCACTTCCCCTGGCTGGCCTACACCTGTAGATTTTATCTGCAATGTGACGCTTTCTTTTTGAGAAATTTGTGTGCTGCCTGAGATCTGAAGAGGGTTATGGAGAGTGTGCTCTTATTTGGGTTCAAATTTCATTTTAGATATTTTTCATATTTTGTGATTTGTCATTGTGACCTTTTTCATGCGCTGTGCTTTCTCTCTCATTTTTATTATTAGTATTAAACATCTTTGAAGGTTTTAAGATATAAAACGTGGAGGCATTGTATTCCTGTTTTACCATTGAAAGAATAGGGAAGAATCAAAGCCTCCTTTGTTTTCCTCTTTCCTAGGTTTACATCAGGATAGAAGGTACAATATTTTAACAGTCTAAGCTATGTGGCTTTGGGAAGAGGCCAGTTTTCCAGTAACTCAGTCTTCCAAATGTTAGTTTATTCATCTGTAAACAAGTCACAAAGTGTTATTTTTCTGGATTTACCACATCTTCTTGACTTTGTTTATTCTACAGATTTATTTAGCAATTAATATGTACAAATAAAAGGCACAGTCCTAGGTATTTCCCTTTTGCATATACATGAGCTCATGGATCATGAAGGGAAACACTACAATTTTAGCTTTGACATTGCATTCTGAATTGCGAATTTGAAACATAGAGACTAATAGCATTAATGCTAACAGTATTAACTGTTATTAGGCTTTTTAATTTTCATGAGGAGTTCTGAATCTTACCTTTTTAATGACTTTTTGTTACCACAGATGGCCTGTCCTTACTTAGCAACGTAGAGTTTCTGCCTTCCAGGTTCTTGCAGGAGACTGTGACCTCACACTCTTGGAGGACCAGGTTTTTTATCAAAAGCTTTCTTAGAAGAGAGAAGAAAAAATAATGGGGTTAATAATGTAGTTTATGCATCATTTTATGCAGTTTACCCATCATTTTAAATCATTTTAAACTGTGTTTTGTATGTTTGTATATTTATATACATGTATTGGGAAGCAGGAGGGCTTAGCTGGTGCTCCATCTGGGCTTTAAGCCTTCTGCTTCCTTATAGCCTGAAAAGTACCATTTTCTTCTGTGTTATGTAGACGATTTTCATGTAAAACTTATTTGGACAGAGGATTCTAAGGCAGAAAAGTTGGAAACCTAATACTTTAGCTATTTCATGTGGTATGCTTAGACTAAACCAGAGCAGGAGAGAACTTTTTTTTTAAATCCTTTATAACAGAAGTCATAAATGAATTGACCTTGGTATTATCTCATGGATATGCATTAATTAAATTTGCATTGTTTACTTTTAGGAATGGTGTTGATGACCTTGTCCATATGTAACAATGTGTCCCCCTTTGGGAAACACACAGGAGACATTTCTTTCTGGTCTAAATTTTAGGAAAAATTGTCTTTCTCCTGTTCACATTTTTTATTTGATTATTTTGTTTTGTTTTTATCCTGTGGGCACTATGAATTGTGTGACCCTTCATGTTTTCTTTCCTCTTTGCTTTGGCTACTTGTCTCAAAATCAGATTTTTTTCTCAGCTTTATCAACTATGCAGACTATACATTATTCTGTTTTTGAACCTCAATTATCCGTTGCCCCAGTTTTTTTTTAAACATAGACGTTGTCAACCTCATCTTTTTATTAACTCGTTCGTGTCATGTCTCTGTCCTTATCTGACAATATACATTGCCTGAATTTGTATAATAAAATAGGACATAAATAATAATAAGAAATAAATAAATTAGCAAATGTTATCACCTATTGTTTATTGCGTTGTTCTAATGACTGGCTATAAAATTTTATAGATTCGTTTTTCTGCCTTTTATAATAAAAAACAACTCAGGGTACCAGAGTGAAAAGAAAACAATCAGCATAATTCATTATAATTTTGACTGTAAGCCTGGGGCTTTGAAAGAACGTAATTAAGATTTCTTATAGTATTAATGTTGCAAAATTTCCCATGTTTTGTATGGCTGTTGTTTTGATTTTTTTTTTACAATCTGAAATATTTTTAATAAACCATAGATGCTAACTGGCACGTACAAATACCTAAAATTTACATAAGAAACAGCACAACATTGATTAATAAGTCATTTTTTAAATCTCTCTCTGCCTTGTGGTGATCAGCTCTAAGAAATTAATCACCGTCCATGTATCAGATAGCCCTTTAGCAGATGCTTATTTTGGAAAAGGACAAGCAAACAAACTTTCCTTGGAAGTTATATACCAAAATATGATAAAACTAAGTAAAAGAAACCTCACATCCATCTTCTAAGATTATGTATCAAACATTCTAAAATAAAATATTGCTTATTTAAGATCTACCTTATGTTTAAAGAATAATGTATTATGACAAAGTACATGCCAAACAAGGAACCATAAGGTGTTCATTTCACTTAACAAAGGTCTCATGTATCCAAGGAAAACTTTTTCCCCCTACTTTTATAATCTGAAATGTTTTTAAAAAATATGCAGTGATCGGATTACAGAAGAAGCTGTAGTAGTTTTCAATTGTGTTATTTTTTAATAAACATTTCCTTTAAAGTTCATGACACTTAAGAATAATTAGTAATTTCTGTTAAGGTTACAGTCTCTAAACTTAGTTGTTTC